TGCCTGCGTTTATCCACGTCACTGTGGCTTGCTCGTGTCGGTCGCTCACTCACCCGTCACTTCTGTGGCACCACCGTCTAGGTCACCCCGCACTTCCGCGTCTGCGTTACATGTCCCAGCACTGTGTGGTCCTAGGTCTCCTGCATCGCTCCATGCTCTCCCTCCCTCACCTGCGCCGCTATGCACGCCCTGTGTCGAGAGCTGGCTGCGCCGTGCTCCTCATTTCTCCTCGCTTCGCCCTGCCACCGCGCCACTCCAGACCCTACACCTAGACGTCTGGGGCCCAGCCCCCATCTCTGGGCCGCGTCGAGAGCGCTACTTTCTAGTGCTTGTCGACGACTACACTCGCTACACCATGGTGTTTCCCCTGGAGCGGAAGGCCGACGTGCGTGACGTTCTTATCCAGTGGGTCGTAGCTGCGCGCGTCCACCGCGGCCTCCCCATGCTGTCGCTCCACTCCAACCAGCTCGCAGAAAGGGATCCCAGGAACATTCAGCCAACTTTGCTCTTCTCGGTGTAGTCCTCCCAAAACGTGTGCTCCGCGGACGATTCTGCGGCAGATAGTTCGTGTACCGGCATGCACAACCATAGCTGGTCGGCCTCATAGTAGGCCTTCCAGAACTCGCTTTCGATGGAGGTGGAGCTCCTAGGCACGTGCAGCCATGTCTGGTCCGCCTCTGAAGGCCTTCCTGAAGTCCAGATCCACGGACGAATCCGCACTTGAATCAGCAGGTCGCACGTGAGAAACGCTGCACAGCCCACGTGAAACAGCCGCCTGGATCAGTTGAGCCATGTTACAAGCGGAAACCTACAATTGTTGATGGCGAGAAGTCTGAGCGAGAAGCGAGCTCTGTGCAGAACAAAGGAAGTCTGAGGAGGCAAAATCTGGGAGCTCTAGGAACTAACTGTGTTGCTTTTGGCGAAGTTGAATGAAAGGTGGGCCTGAATATGTAGATGGGAGTGGGAGGTTCTGAAGGGGAAGTGGAGGCCAAACGGAGCTTGGACGACAGAACGACCGCGGGCAGGGACGAACATTGCTGGGCTGTCCCTAGAGTCGTTCCGTCAAATGCTGTCTCCATTTGCTGGCTGGCTAAACTTGCGGAAGTGTTGGGCAGCAAAAACCGCAAGAGATTTCTGCCCGAATATGGAACAGCGCTAACCCCGTTGCTGCCGGAGGACGGGTTGCGATTCGACTCCGAAATGAAAGAGCAACTTGAAATTGAGGGCTCGGAGAAAATCCTCGCCGCTGGCAAAAGCTCACCCTTTCCGTCAACGTTGTCACTTCTGGAGAGTTGGGTGGCGATTCGTTCGGCGGTTGACTCGATGAGGGTTCAAATTGGAAATTTCTACCGCCTGAGATCATCTCAAGGCAGCTACCGAACGACTTCGCTCCGTTACCATCTACTGACGGAAAAACTAACGACTCGACGCTAGACAAGCGCGATGAACTCGAAGGTCGGGTGACATGGCGCTATTACAGGACCCAGTTACATTCGCGAAGCCATTAGCAGCGAGTCGCCAGCACGGTAGAATCGGAGGAGCCAACGTTGAGAAAACGAGATTTGCGGAGGGCGGATAGACCCAAGGAAAAGGATATCCCATAACAGCAGATTCTTTGGAAGAATTTAGAAATGCAGGTCAGCCAGCTGGTATACATTTCACCTATGGATAGTGATCGGAATTTGGAAAGCCTTCCTTGTTATCACTTGTAGTGGAATTCAGCATGCCTGTCAAGAAACCTCATTGGTAAGCTTCAAATTGCTTGTGCGACCCTTCAAACTAATCAAATATTTGCCAACGCATGAGTTGGGCGTACCATTGCGATAATGTCAATTAAACACTGTAGCCTAGCTGGAGGCAGTTAGTATAGGGTAAAACACTTGCTGTTCCCCACCTCCCTCCAGTCAACTTTTCTTCTCTTGACATGGTATCGAGTTAGGTCTCGCTCCTAGCCGTTACGCTTCTGCCCTAGGCGCTACCCACTCCCCTCCCACCATAGCTTACCTCCTTAGCCTAGATTAAGCTTTAGTCGGTTGCTCTAGCCTGCAAACTAGCCTACGATCTAGTCCTAGGTCGCTGCCCTCCCTTCGCAGTGCCCGCTGCCGCCAGCCTGCCGCTAGCCGCCGCTTCCGCTAGCCTTTCGCTCGTTTTTCCTGCCGCCAGCCTGCATCCAGTCACCGATGTCGCCAGCCCGCCGCTAGCTGCTCGCTGCCGCCTGCCAGCTCCTGCTCCTTGCTGGCCGCTGGCCCCCTGCCGTCTTGTGCCTTCCAGCTGCCAGATCGCCGCTCCGGCCACAACCGCCTCTGCCGCTGCCACGGTTCGTGCTTTTGCACCCACTAGCGCCTCCCACTAGTCTCTTCCTCATTGTTGGGGTTCCTCGCCGCCTCCCCTGCCAGCATGACGACCTTGTCGGGGTCTGTCCTTCAGCAGGTCGCCGAAGACTTGTCGGCTTTTCTCTCTAGCTTCTCGCTCTCCACCAGCGCCAGCACATGGACTGCGAGCTACTGATGGCCCACATTATTGGCGTGCCGTCCCACCCCATCCTGAGTCCCTGGCTACTGACGCGACGTCGGCACAGTGTGAGGACCGCCCACACCATCTGGCGGGCTTGCGACACTGCTGTGCTGCTTGTCATCACCTGCTTACTGCCAGTTGACGAGCAGGCGCACTTCGCGTCGCAGGAGACGACGAAGGACCTCTGGGATGTTGTCGTTGCCCACTACTTGTCCCCCTCCTCTGCTGCCCTCGGTCACCTCCTCCTTTCGTGCCTCTTCCTCGACCTGGCCTCTTTCCCCACGCTCGCCGACCTGGTCGCACAACTCCACCAACCCGAGGTACACTATAGGGCTGCCTGCCCCGAGCCGCAGCAGCAATTGCAGCAGAGGCAGCATTCGTGGTGGGGTCCCCAAAGTGTTGGGCCCGGTGGAGGCCCTGGAGGTTGGCCCCCGGGGCGGTCGTTGCCCTGGGGCTCGCGTGGCTTCTCTGGGGGCACGGGGGCCTGGGGGTCTCGGCCTCACTACTGTGTGTAGTTTAGGAGCCTTTGCTGTGTGTACTCTAAGCTCCTCGTCGGCCCCTGCTGCAGCGGCTACTACTGCTCCCCCTCCTCTCTCATACCCGCCCTTTCGCCAAGGCGCCCACCGTCCGCTGCTGCCACTGCCCCTCAACCACGAGGCCACCGCGAGCGCCTAGCAGAGCGGTCGGGTGCAGTGACAGCTGCAGCTGTCTCACTGACAGAGGCGGAGGCACCAGGGACAGGGATCTGGGGCAGAGGGAAGCCTTGAAAGTTATGGGCCGCCAGCGCGTCAGTGGACTGGGCGATGGCGCAGAGGTGGATCTTTATTTCTGTCAGGGAGGTGGAGAAGAGGTCAATGGTGAGGGCAATGGGGTGTAGTGCAAGCAGAGCATCACGGGCAGGGTGATGCGAGCAGGGAGGCGGGCGGTGAGGATGGAAAGGGTGATGTACAGGTGGGCGGGGAGTGCCCGACGGGCTCAGCCTAACTGCACGCCGCACGGAAGCGGGCCTCGAGGGAGCGCAGGTGCGCGACAAGATCTGCTAATATAGAGAAGGAGGCTAGGTCGGGGAAGAGGAACGGGAGGAGAGGCGGCCGAGGGTGGCGAAGGAGGGGGTCGAGTAGCGAGCGATGATCGCGTCCTAGAGTGCCTAAGTCGTCTTTTGCTACTCGAAGTGCGCGTGCTTGGCAACCAGCAGGTACCGGGTGATGGCCACCGGCGTAGCGGCGTCGCGGGACTCCCAGATGGAGAGGGCGGTCCTGGTGGATGCGTACGCCACACGCTGCCCTTACGTTGCCTCGGGGCCAAGGGGACCAGGGCAGGAGGGGGCAAGTAGCTCACCAGTCATGTGGGCCTCCATCGACTCGTCGTCCACACGCTGGCTCGTCAGCTGCCGGAGGAGAGTGAGAAGCCACGCTGAGAAGCCGACTGCACGGCCCTCGGCGTCCAGCCAAAGGACAAACACCGACGCCAACGGGGCTGCCATGCCGGCAGGAGGTCCAGCGACAGGTCCGGGAGTAGGCAGCTAAGAGCAACTGAAACGAGGAGGAGCGCCAGGGACTAAAGCCGATAGAAAGTGCCGACTGTGGCTGGCGGCTGCAGCCAGGCAGCTGCGGCTGCAGCAGGCGGCTGCGGCTGCAAGCAGCGGGCGACGAGCAGTGCGGCAAGCAGCACTGTAAACAGCACCGCGAGCAGCGGGCATCGAGCAGTGGGCGGCGAGCAGCGCGACGAGCAGCGCAGCGTGCAGCGCGGCGAGCTGCAGGTGGCGAGCCGGCCGGCGGCGAGCTGCGGAGGGCGAGCTGGCTGGCTGCGCACGGCGGCGGCGTGCATTGCGAGCAGCGAGTGGCAGTGGCGGGTGGCGCGCAGCAGGCAGCGAGTAGCGGGCAGCAGCGAGCAGTGGGCTAGGACTAGGGTGCAGGCTAGGGCGGAGGCTAGGGCAGCAGACTAGGGCCTAACCTAGGTTAGGAGTGTAGGCTCCCCCTAGATTTAGGACCCTACACTCCTAGGAGCGGGGAGCACCTAGGGAGGAAGCGTGGAGGCTAGGTAGGAACTACTAACCTACCGTAAACGCCCGGATATAAGACCGGTTTTATTGAGGACCCACAGGGTGTTTTTGGCGAGTAGGTCCTTGATCATGGTAATCGACTAACAAGACCCTCCCCTTTTCAGTGTAGCCGGCTTAAGACCCTCTTCGTATTTTTTTCCCCGTGATTTCCGCAGCAAATGTTAAGTACGGTGGGAAGCGAGCAAGAAGGAAATAGAAAGGGGGCTGCGGGGAAACAGAAGCGCGAAAGGGGAACCAGAAAGCATTGTGAAAGGTGAGGAGCGAGGGCTTGAACGCTCCCAGAAGCATGGGGTGGGGTGGAAATTGGCCAAGTGGCTAATTTCTGTCTAATCGAGACGAAGTCAACAGTTTCCACACAATGTTGAATCTGGAGACAAAATCCAGACCGTCGATCGATACTGTGACGAATCGGATCGCTACCAATCTGTTTCCCAAGGGTTTTCCCGCAATATCAAATGCTCACTTGAACGAATCAGATTCCAACATGTCGCGACAGCTCGACTTTTGGGCACAAAAGAGCGTTATGGATTCTGTCCAGAGCCAAAGAAGTGATGCAATAAAGTCAAGCCTATACTGTGGCCATGCCTCCAGCTCATAGCCTTTGATATTGCTGCACTTGAAGTCTGACGCTTGTGCCTTTGTCTATCCTTCGTCTGTCTTTATTGCTCCGCCTTGCTCTTCTTTTTTTTCTTGGTCCTCTTCACAGCATCAGCTAGAGTGAGGGGCTCCCCCTTTACCATGCCCCGTGCACCTTCTGCTGCTGCTGCTGCTGCCATGGGCACATCTTCACCTTTCCCAGCAGGCAGCACGGCAGGGGCGGCAGGAGTCTTAGAGGTAGGTGCCCTTGAGGCAGGGGCGGGTTGGGCAGCAACGGAGGGCAGCAGGTCAGAAATCGCGTCCAGCTCTGAGCCCAGCCGAGCTGGGTGGGTTGAGGGAGACGGGAGAGGGGGAGGGGGTGTTTAGCTGTGGCGGTGAGAAAAATGGGGCTGTTTAGTTGGAGGATGGGGTGGGGAGATCCCATTAGTGGGTAAAGAAACAATGGCTGGCAGTAGTGCTTGACTCTGAGTCGAAGGGATGGGGTGTGATGTCAATGCGAGGCACGGCAGGTGGTGTGGAGGGACGCACAGGAACACACTGGAGCATGAACAGAGAAGTATTTCAAGCTAACTTGACTTCAAAGCTACGCATCCAGAGCCACACGTCACTAAATTGGATGATTTGTGGTGCCTCAAAAGACGGTACGGATGTGGAGGTCGAAAGGAGGAAGAGGCAATGAGTCACCTGCTGTTGCTCCTTTCCTGCTCGTCTTCTCATCACCCTCCTCCAACCTGCGACCCACGAACCAACAACGGGACAACCAACATGCATATGTAACATGGGGAGCACAAATCACCATGGGTAACATAGGTAGCTCAGAGCAACACGCGCAAGTGAGAGCATGGCATCAAAGACACTGGGAGGTGTCCAATGGATACTGCCATGCGCATAAGCCTCCCTAGGCATGGAGGATCGAGGCGCCCGCCCACCACCCTCCTTGGGCAGCGTGCAGCAGTTAGAGTCCATCGGGTGCATCCAGGCGGTCATGCACTGTGGTGGGAGGATCCAGGGGCACACAGAGAGCTCACCACGACGACACCCCCCCTTGGAAAAGTGCATCCACGTCCCCTCCTGCTGCTCTCCCTCCTCCTCCTCCCCCCTCGCCCTCCACTGCCTCCTCTGCCTGCTCTGCCTCCTCCTCATCATCCTCCCCGTCACTCGACTCTGCTTCCTCCCCCTCCTCCTCCCCATCCTCCTCCATCTGCTCCTCCTTCACATCACCACTCACCCCACCACGCTCACCACCACCAGCCTTCCCTCGTCCCACGCCCCCCCCTTGCCTCTGCACGGCAGCTATCTCTGCAGCACCAATCACCCCCACCTTCAACCCCCCTGCTCCCTCTGCCCCCCCTGCTGCTGTGTCCAGCCCCGCTGCTGCTGCAGCAGCAGCAGGAGGCGTGGCGTGTCGCTTCACCTTGCGCCGCTGCCTCTCTGCTGCTAGTGCTGCTACCTGACAGGCCAAAGAACAGGAGGGAAGGAGATCGTGCGTTAAGGAACTAAGTTTGAAGCAGCGAGCCTGGTATCCCCACTCTTCTCCTGTCCTCTGCACCTCAAGTGCCGCTTCACCTTGCACCGCTGCCTCTCTGCTGCTAGTGCTGCCACCTGCGCAGACGCGAGAGTGGAGGAGATTGCGTGTCGAGGCACAAGAGCAACTCATCGCTGCTAGCGTTGCCAGATGAAACGCGAACCTGGAAGACACACAGAGCCCGAAGGGAATTGAAGGGAAGGTGTGCGTGGAAAGGGGGGGAGGGGGGATGTCTGGGCCACGAAGGCAGCACTTTTTGTGTGACGCAATAGGCATCGTCATCCCCTCAGTTGTCAACCTTTTGGCCATGCCTCGGGTGACCAAAACTAAGGAGGGGGGGGGGGGAGGGGAGAGAACACCTTCATTCCCCACTGTGGCAGTCAAGAGCAGATTACCTTTTGGTCACCTTATCCGTTAGGCTCTTGAGTATGTGTTGTGCCACAAAAGCAGAAGCACCCTCAATCCAGCTATGAGGAAAGGGAGGAGGAAGAGTATGACAGCAACAGGCAAGGCTACGAGATTTTTGGATCAAGGAACGTGTGCTACATGTGTTGCACGTCCGATACATGGTCTTGGCAGCAACCTGAGACCAGCCCATGAGTTGGTTGAGCGGCGCGCCCACCCCGCCACCATATATCAGTATAGGCTTCTTTAATCGCCTTGCTAGTCAGAAGCGCCTTCAACCACCTTGTCATCCAGAAGCATCTTAATCACCTTGTCAGTGAGCGTCTTGAGCATGTGTTGTGCCACAGAAGCAGCCCCACGTGAGCAGCGCATGGCATGAGCTGGTTGAGCGACACGCCCACCCCGCCCTATATCAGCCAGAAGCGCCTTCAATCACCTTATCCGTCCGTGTCTTGAGCATGTGCTGAGGTTTGGAAGCCGTGACCTGCGAGCAACTCCTAGTCGACCCGTATCCCAGTGACATCCCCTCACCTTATCCGTCAGTGTCTTGAGCATGTGTTGCGCCACGGAGGCAGCCACGCGCGAGCAGCGCATGAGCTGGTTGAGTGACACACCCACCCCGCTGCCCTTCTGCACGCTGCACACGTCGCCCACCGCATTCACCAGCACCGTGCACCGCCCTGCCTGAGCCGCCTCCTCTTTAAAGCTCGGGTCCATCACCTAAGGGGCACAGGTGGTGAAGTGCAGAGGGGTCAGCTCATGAGCGCCTGTAGCCTGTCGCCTGCAGTGCAGTCCGTGGGCCACTGCCTTCCTGCCCACTGCACACGTCCCCCACCGGTTCACCAGCACTGTGCACCGCCCCGAGTCCGCCGCCTGCGTGCCCCACCACCTGGGTTGGTGGGTACAGGTGGACAGGTGCAGGGGGGCACGCCACGAGTCCATAGACTGCCGCATGCAGTGCTGTCGGTGGGCTACAGCCCTTCCATGCTTGCCCCGCCTCCTCCTTGCATCTCGGGCCGATCACTGGGGGTTGGGGGTTGAGGGGGGTGGTACAGTAGTTAGGGGTTAGGGTCAATGTGGTATGCCACGGGGGAGCAGCAGGCACGGGCTGTAATCTGTGGCCAGGAAATGACCCGCCATGCTAGCCCCTTGTTCACCATTGCCACACACATCCAGGGCATGGTTCACCGCACACACACACAGCACGGTTCACTGCACACACACACAGCACGGTTCACTGCACACACAAACAGCATGGTTGACCGCACACACACACAGCATACCTCAAGGCGCTCGCTCAGCACACCAGACAGTTACTGTAAGCCTGCCACATGGTTGACTCTGCCCTTCTGCCCACCCCACTGCTACTTCGACCTACAGGATACAGCACCGTTGCTCCCAGCCTACAGCTTCATTACTGTCACCATACCTCACCGTTTCCCACACCACAGCACCACATTGGCTCACCACGTCGTTGCCGTCGTTGAAGAAGGCGAAGGTGACTGCAAGGGGCAGGTTGTGCACCGTTAGCGGTACGGGGTCACGCTCCTGCGAGGGGTGGAGAAAAAACGGGGGGGAGAGGAGAAGAGAGGGGTGGGGGGGAGAAGAGGGGTGGGAGGGAGGAGAGGGGTAGGAGGGAGGAGAGGGGTGGGAGGGAGGAGAGGGGTGGGGAGGAGGAGAGGGATGGGGGGGAGGAGAGGGGTGGGAGGGAGGAGAGGGATGGGGGGGAGGAGAGGGGTGGGAGGGAGGAGAGGGGTGGGAGGGAGGAGAGGGGTGGGAGGGAGGAGAGGGGTGGGAGGGAGGAGAGGGGTGGGAGGGAGGAGAGGGGTGGGAGGAGGACAGGGGTGGGGGAGAGGAGAGGGGTGGGAGGGAGGAGAGGGGTGGGAGGGAGGAGAGGGGTGGGAGGGAGGAGAGGGGTGGGATGGAGGAGAGGGGTGGGAGGGAGGAGAGGGGTGGGAGGGAGGAGAGGGGTGGGAGGGAGGAGAGGGGTGGGAGGGAGGAGAGGGGTGGGAGGGAGGAGAGGGGTGGGAGGGAGGAGAGGGGTGGGACGGAGGAGAGGGGTGGGAGGGAGGAGAGGGGTGGGAGGGAGGAGAGGGGTGGGAGGGAGGAGAGGGGTGGGAGGGAGGAGAGGGGTGGGAGGGAGGAGAGGGGTGGGAGGGAGGAGAGGGGTGGGAGGGAGGAGAGGGGTGGGAGGGAGGAGAGGGGTGGGGAGGAGGAGGGGTGGGGGGGAGGAGAGGGGTGGGGGGAGGAGAGGGGTGGGACGGAGGGGAGGGGTGGGAGGGAGGAGAGGGGTGGGACGGAGGAGAGGGGTGGGAGGGAGGAGAGGGGTGGGAGGGAGGAGAGGGGTGGGGTGGGGGAAGAGTAGAGGGATGGGGGAGAGGAGAGGGGTGGGGGGGAGGAGAGGTGGGGAAGGTGCATGAGGGTGAGGCACAGCAGCAAGCGACAGGTTGTGCATTGTTAGTGACATGAAGCTGCGACAGGTTGTGCATTGTTAGTGACATGAAGTTGCGCTCCTGAGAGCGGTGATGGGGCAGAGAGGAGAGGGGGGCACACAAAGGTGGAGAGAAGACGGTGCAGAGAGGTGGAGAGCGATGCACACCAGAACAAAGACATACAAATGGGGTCATGATTCTCTAAATTGATTCACTCACATGTGATGCATGCACCACCACTTGCATGCCACCGTCTCCCTACAATACAACTGTCAGACCCGTTATTTGATCACTCGCATGTGGTGCATGCACCACCACCTGCATGCCACCGTCTCCCTACAATACAACTGTCAGACCCGTTATTTGATCACCCGTCATGTGATGCATGCACCACCATCACTTGCATTACATGCCATCACCCCCTCCTATTGTTATTTCCACTATCACTCACATGCGTCGGATGCACCACCACTTGCATGCCGTCGTCCCCCCCTACTGTCACTTCCGGTCGTCTGAAAGCCAGCAGCGCCGCCACGGCCGCCAGGCAACAGGCGTCCACCAGGTTGCTGCGGGGAACACAGGAGAGGGAGAGAATGTGAGGGGTGGAGTATATAGTGCAGGTTGGGACCAAAGGTGCGAGCTTTGAGTTGTCCTAGAGTAGAACCTCTTGGCTGCCAGGCAGCGAGCATCCCCCAGGCTGCTGGAAAGCGCGTGGGGAAGAGAGGGGGGGGTGGGGGGAGGAGAAGGGAGGGCCGGTGGGAGTTTGGAGGGATGAAGGAATCTGGAAGCATGGAGTTTAAGCTATGGGAGCACTTGGGGAAAATGAGAGTGAAGGAAGATAGAAGGGGAGACTGGGGGCAGGAGGGAGAGGAGATGGGGTGAAGCGATGTGGAGAATCACAGCAGTGCAATTGATAACTCGGATGCCAAGCATCACAAGCACTTGATTCCACCGTCACAGGCACACGGCAATCACCCACCTGCCCATCATCACTATCACACCAACCACCTGCCATCATCCAAACCGCATCGTGACTTAGTATAAACACACCCAACGCCCAACCATCGTAATCCATGGCTTGAATGAGCAGCCTCGGCGCGCAACGGCGCTACCATTCACGCAGCACGCACCCACCGGCCGTAATCCACCATGCACACCCAGCGTGCACTCGGGGCACCCACCCATCGTTATCCATGACTCGCACGTCCAGCCTTAGCGCCCATGCTGCCCTCCCCGCCACCACGCACAGCGACTCCGTGTCCACCGCATGGCTCTCCCTGGTGCGGTGGGTGCGGTGGGTGCGGTGGGTGGGGTGGTGGCACGGGAGACGAGGAAGAAACATGCGGCTCTCAACAAGCATGGGCATCCACCGCCACCACACACAGCGACTCTGTGCCCACCGCATGGCTCTCCCTGGCGGTGTGGCAGCATGGGAAAATGACACAGCAGCATGGGAAAATGACACGGCAGCATGGGAAAATGACACGGCAGCATGGGAATTCCATATGGTGGCATGGCATCATGGGAGTTCGTATGGTGGCATGGCATGGCATCTTGGGTATTCACATGGTTGCATGTCATCCTGGATAATCGTATGGTGGCATGGCATGATATCATGAGTATGAGGTCTCATCGTGCCTCTCAGCACCTCTCAACGTCCGCCATCAGGCCGTGTGTGTGTCATATCTCTCCCACTCGACATCCCCTTGCCCTTGCCCTCAGTACGCAGCGGGGTGAGAGCAGCGAGATTGGCGATAGATTGGCGGTGAGTGCAGCAGCGAGCCCTATCCATGTCCCACGAACCTCAACCCCGTCAATGATTCTTCCCTGAGCCCTCCAGCTCAACGGCTTCTTCCCTCGGCACTCCCGGTACAAAGCGCGGGCGCGGGTCAGCCATGAAAGGGAGCGCAGTGAAGACAGCCAGAGAGCCCTCCAGCGCCTATGCTGCAACGAGCCTCAGTCCCGTGTCAGCCGCCCGCCCTTGCCTTGCCTGTACCTGAGTCCCCTGTCCATGATCCTCCTCAGCTGAATGGGCCGGCCATGGGGGCGAGTTGTGTGAAGTGAAGACAGCCAGCCAGCGACACCTAGGCCTTGCTGCAACGAGCCTTGAGTCCAACGCACCTGAGCCCCCTGTCGATGATCCACCCTTGCTCGTACCTGAGTCCCCTGTCAAATATTCTTCCCAGTTCAACAACATCCTCTCCCAGCCGCCCCGGCACAAAGCGTGGGTCAGCCATGTGGGAGAGCTCTGTAGAGACAGCCAGCGAGACGAGCCCTCCAATGTCCGGGATTCAACGCACCTTCTCCCCTGTCCCCACCGCCCACCGTCGCCCATACCTGAGGCCCCTGTCAATGATCCTGCCCAGCTCAATGGCTTCTTCCCCTGGCCGTCCCGGCACGAAGCGTGGATCCGCCATGGGGGCGAGCTCCGTGAAGACAGCCAGCGAGCCCTCGTTGGGGCGGTCAGGGAAGGGTAGAGTGAGGGCGGCTGATACAGACGCGAGCACTCGGGTGTTTCCTAGCTGCACCTCTGCTGTGCCCTCATCCCTGATTGGGGGGGGTGGGAGGAGAGAAGGAAAGGGGAAGGGGAGCGTCGGAGAGTTCAGCCAGCAAGCCCTCGTTGGGGCGGTCGGTGAAAGGAAGGGTGAGGGTGGCTGACACAGAGGCGAGGGCAGGTTCCTCCTGGCTGCACCTTTGCTGAGCCGTCGTCGCCGTGCCTGGTCAGGCAAGGGAAAGGGAAGGAGGAGGATGGACCGGCAGGGTGAGGATGGGCCGGCAGGGTGAGGATGGGCCGGCAGGGTGAGGATGGGCCGGCAGGGTGAGGAAGGGTGAGAGCGAGGCGAGAACACAAGTGCTGCCAGTGCCGTGTTTCACCGCTGCTGTGGTGGCATCCCCTGGCAAGGGTAGAGGGAGAGATGCGAAAAGTGGGAGAGGCAGGAAGGGCGAAACCAAGGGGAAGGGAACAACGAAAGGGGCTGGTACAGCGGGCAGCACTGGGCGCTGAGCACTCGCCCTTGTGCACCGTCATCGGCGGTGGGGGGAGGATTGATTCTGATTCGGAGAGGAGAGGAGAGGAAGGAAGCGCGGAATGAAGGGGACGAGCAGAATAAGCGTGGCCGGTACGGCGGGGCCTGTCTAGCTCCGTCGGTTGAATCCAGCGGGCTACGCGCACGCCTCGTGGCCATCGATTGCTGAGACGTGTCAGCAGTTGGAGGGGTTTAATGATGACGGGAGAGGGGATTGGCCGATGAGGGTTTGGGGACAGGCTTTGGGGACAGGGATTTGGGGACAGGGATTGGGGAGATGAGGGGTAGAAGAGGACAAGCTGAGGGCAAGATACGCTCCAAGCAGCTGTGGAGCGAGAGTCTCCGGGTTTCTGCGTCCTAAAAAATGCCTGCCGTGAATCAACGGACCGATAGCGCAGACACATGAACGTGGGCGAAAAAGGGCACAAGTATCTGGCGAAATGGGCGGAATGAGACGTCCCAAAACCGCGACCGGCGGCCGGCGACGCGCTGGTCTTTGCGTTTTGAGACGTCTCAAAACTCAAATGTGTCAAATCTATATCGCGTATAAATAGTACCTGCCGAATGAGACGTCCCATGACCGATAATCGAAGGGCTTGCGGCCGTCGACGCGCTGCTCCTCGCGCACCGCCGCGAGAATAAAGTCGCACTCGTTCGCCGACACCACCGCCGCCGCGCCCTTGGGTACACCCATTGCGACTATGCGCCTACTACCGGCCTCTATGGTAGAAGGTAAGGGATAATCAATCAACTGTAAGGTGGACGAAACTTACGCTGAGCTTCTAGCAGCAGTATAAAGTAGCAGCGACGTCCCATTACAGGACTGCTCCATTTCAACAGCAGATCCCTTTTCAGAGGGAAAACACTCCCAGCGCATGTGTTCATGGAAATTGAATAATCATCCTAGTTATTAGGGGGGATCAGGTATTATAGGGAGGTTCTAATCGGTTCATATTGTCTTGTCGAGTTTCTGTGAGTCTATGACGTCGACGCCGTAAAAATTCCGGCACTGGATACTCTGAACACTCTCAGGGTGTCCAGAGAGTACACGAAGTTGTGGTCGGGATGGGTCTAGTTGGGGTCAGAGGGATCCAATAGCTTTCTAGAACGGTTGAGTAGGGTTTTGAGCAAAGACTACAAGAACACGCCCTCGGGGCGTGTCCGGCGCGTACATTTCTCGCCCAAAACCCCACCCAACCATTTCAGATCGCTATAAGCATTTTTTGACTCGCAGAGAATCTCACCCAACCGCAATGAAACGTACGCGCGGGACACGCTCATGTACATATCTTGGTTTGAAGTTGGTTCCGTTCTCGAAAACTGAACTGCGAGGGTCATTGAACACTGGGAATACCTGGGAAACTGGTTATCGGCAGGGCTACCTCTGGAAGACCCATATCAGCTCCAAAGAGGGTGCCTGATATTACGCCAGAGTGGCAGTTGTCGACTTAGTACGCTAAAAGCTACCCGATCGCCATTCCCGCGATGTTCACTCTTAAAGTTCATGCTGACGTGGACACAAACAGCCAGGCAGGTTCGGCCATAAGCGCGTCGTCCGGAGCCGTCGATTCCTATAGTGACGCGGTTCGTAGGGATGGGGACGGAGCCACCGTTAGTAGCACCTCGGCGGCGTCAGTTGCGGAGCAGGTGACACGTGGTCAAGGTCCAGGCGAACTTGAGGCTGAAATTCGTGAAGTTTCGGATACCGGGCTTGGTGATAGTGCGCGAGGTGATAACAACGAGTGTATCCCGTTCTCGTCCGGCAATCCCAAGGTGGAATCCACGCGTGGCGTGATTCACCTCTTCCGGAACACCACGGAGAGCCCCGGCTCGCTGCACAACCTGCCGGTACGGTGCTCGTTGGTGGCGCGCTTTCTATTTCCATTAGGCGAGCTTTTACCTGACACACCTTGCCGGCACCAGCGGTACGGATGGCGCTCGCTGTTGGCAAGTTGTGCCGGGGGCCTGCTTTAGGCGACTGTAAAGTAGGCTCGACTCAAGGTTCATCCGAGCGCGCTGCAGAACTTGCTGGTGCGAGCAGTCGGGGATTGCTTTGTCCTGCTTGCGCTGCGCGACTGTGAATTCGACTTCAGGGTCAATTCGAAACAGGCTCTCCCATGTCCCCTTTCCCCCTTTCCCATGTCCCTCTTCCCCCTTTCCCATGTCCCCCTTCCCCCTTTCCCATGTCCCCTTCCCCCTTTCCCATGTCCCCTTCCCCTTTTCCCATGTCCCCCTTCCCCCTTTCCCACGTCCCCCTTCCCCCTTGCCCATGTCCCCGCACTGCTCACCTCACAATCAGCGGGACAGAAAAATGGAGCTGTGTGTGCTGACGGGCGTTGCCTACTCCATCCCTCATGCGCCCCCTTGTAATTCCCTCCCCCCTTGTAACCCCCTCCCCCCTTGTAACCCCCTCCCCCCTTGTAACCCCCTCCCCCCTTGTAACCCCCTCCCCCCTTGTAACCCCCTCCCCCCTTGTAAACCCTCCCCCCTTGTAACCCCTCCCCCCTTGTAACCCCCTCCCCCCTTGTAACCCCCTCCCCCCTTGTAACCCCCTCCCCCCTTGTGATCCCCTCCCCCCTTGTAACCCCCTCCCCCCTTGTAACCCCCTCCCTCCTTGTAACCCCCCCCCCCCTTGTAACCCCCTCCCTCCTTGTAACCCCCTCCCCCCTTGTAACCCCTCCACCACCCCGTGTTCCCCATGCTCCCCTTGCGCCCAATTCCAGCCGAAGCAGGGCTCTTCTTCCATGCTCCCCCTTCCCCCTTCCATGCCCCCTTGTTCCCCTGGTCCCTGGTGCAGCAAGCCAGGGGCATGGAGTTATGTGTGCTAGCTGTGCCCACGTACATGACAGGTGCTGACTTCTGCCAGTTCACAGGCGCGTTGCTGGGCGAAATAGAGAGCATGCGCATCGTGAGGTGAGCGGGTGGTAACCACATGCATGTAACTGGTTTCCAGATGGGCTGGAGCTGTTTTTTCTGCTGGGGGGGATAAAGAGCATGCGCATGGTGAGGGGACATGGAATAGGGGGTGATGAGGGGAAGGTGGGGAAAGGGGGAGGACAGACTTCTGCAAGTTCACAGGGCACGGCTGGGCGAGAGAGAGAGTATGCGCATGGTGAGGTGAGGGGACATGGAGTAGAGGTGATGATGCGGGGAAGATGGGGAAGAAGGGGGACGAGAAGAGCTGACTTCTGCCAGTTCACAGAGCACCGCTGGGTGAGATCGAGAGCATGCGCATCGTGGTGAGGTGAGGGGGTGGTAACCACATGCATGTAACAAGGCGAACCCAAGCTGTCTTTGCTCAGGCGAGGGAGGAGAGGGAAGGGCAAATGAAGGGGGGGGGGAGGATGCGGGAGTAGGGCAGGGGGGGGGGGGGGTGGTAAGTCAGGGGGCGCCTCAATCCTGCTGATGCAATGGAATGACGTCATCTATGTCGTTCTGCTGTCACCCACGGTCCTTCTTTCCCCTCGTGTTCAACCCACCAGGAACGACAGCCTGTCGGAGCGCTACATGGTGCTCATGCGAATGAAGTCCCGAGAAGCAGCAGACGGTTTCTTCCGCCAGTTCAACAACAAACCCTTCTCCTCCATGGAGGTACGTCCTCCGCCGCTCTCTCTCCCTCATGGAGGTACGCTCTTAGGTGCTTGACCCGTGTGAAAGGCATTTGCAGCCCACGCTCTTAGGCGCTTGGTGGTTATCTACAGGCAAGAGGCAGCAGACGGCTTCTTCTGCCAGTTCAACAGCAATCCCTTCTCGTCCATGGAGGTATATGCGCCCTCTGTCTTGTCCATGGAGGTATATGCGCCCTTTGTCTCGTCCATGGAGGTATATGCGCCCTCTGTCTTGTTGTCGCACGATTTGACATAACAAATGTGTTATGAAAATCGTGGGACAACTCGGAAGGTTAAGCAAAAGGGTCGGTGAAAACGGGGTGTACATAGTGATGGTGATAATTGGGGTGTACAGTGATGGGTGTTCAGATCGAGGTTGGGAAGCGGAATGGCGGTACGACAGTTGGCGAGAGAGGCAGGCTGGCAGGGTACAGCTGGGCGGGGCAAGAGCAGTTAAGGGAGGAGGCATGCAGGAAGGCAGGAGGCAGCGTCGATGGCAAAGTGACTTGGAGCCATCACGGAGGAGAAAAACCCGAAACGGACAGCGGCTGATCCCAAGGGAGGGAGGGGTGCGCGCTCCGGAGTGGATCTGCTAGGAGGTAGCCACAAAACTGCGAGTGCGTAGTTGTGTAGCTACTTCTGTTTGTTCTCTCGTTATCATAGGAAAGCGTGTATGCTCTGTGAGTAGTGGATTCATTCAGGAGCAAAGCTAGAGCTATGTAGAGAGGCCAGACAGGGGCGGTCGGGGATTAAGAAAGCTTTCTTGAAGCTTTTCTTAAGAGCGGGGGAAACCAGTCACAATTACATATCAGAGGAGAAAAGGGAAGGCGCCGGAAGCCCGGCTAGAGGGGAGAGGTGGGCCATCGGAGAGAGGGTATGCGACATCGTCCATGGAGGTATATGCGCCCCTCTGTCTCGTCCATGGAGGTATATGCGCCCTCTGTCTCGTCCATGGAGGTATATGCGCCCTCTGTCTCGTCCATGGAGGTATATGCGCCCTCTGTCTCGTCCATGGAGGTATATGCGCCCTCTGTCTCGTCCATGGAGGTATATGCGCCCTCTGTCTCGTCCATGGAGGTATATGCGCCCTCTGTCTCGTCCATGGAGGTATATGCGCCCTCTGTCTCGTCCATGGAGGTATATGCGCCCTCTGTCTCGTCCATGGAGGTATATGCGCCCCTCTGTCTCGTCCATGGAGGTATATGCGCCCTCTGTCTCGTCCATGGAGGTATATGCGCCCTCTGTCTCGTCCATGGAGGTTCGCTCCCTTCAAGGCGCCTCTCTCTCCCCCATGGAGGTATGCTCTTAGGTGGCTGAGGCGTCTGAAAGACATCCCCAGCCCACGTGCTTACCGTTTAGCACGGCAAGGCACAGCAGCAGGCCGCGGAAGAAGCCGTCGGCTGCGGATGTCGAGTTGAGGCTTCATCCGCCTGTTCTCCCCTTCTTCTCCCTCTGCTGCTATTTTTGAGGCACCTAAATAAAGAGCCCTTCTTCTCCCTCTGCTGCTATTTTTGAGGCACCTAAATACAGAGCCCTTCTTCTCCTTCTGCTGCTGCTGCTGCACCGACGTTAAGTAGTTTAGTTTTGAGATGTCTCAAAGCGAGTCGAGGCTTCATCTACCTGTTCAAGGGCAAGCCTTTTTTCTCCTTCTGCTGCTGCTGCTACACCCAACTACTTACAATGGCCTTACTTCTCCTTCTGTGCTCGCTGTTTCCTTGCATTTGTTGCGATCATACTGGCCATGTTTCTGTCGAGTCGCGATGTGTGTAGTTCACACACCGATTTGGTTCTTGTTGAAGTACTTCATTCACTCACTCCGCGGCCCAATCTTCCCACCCTGGCTTTACGTTTGCAACAGCAGACCACGAGAAGGAAGCAGCTCATTGTTTTGGACTGATCTTCTTGCTACCTGTTGGCCCATCTCTTACCCCATTACCCGCATTTGGCCATCCGATTGCCGGGCTCACAGCGGAGGAAGCAATTCGCTTCTGCGCAATCGTCCTTTCCCCATCCACCCTCAACCCATCGCTCAGTCTACCCTTCCATACCCCGCTCCCCCCCCCCCCTGCCAGACGGAGCTATGCCGAGTGCTGTTCACGAAGCAGGTGCTGGTCACGGGCTCAGAGGAGGATGCCGCAACGCCCCCTGTCGGCCAGACTGAGCTGCCTTCCTGCCCGGTCTGCCTTGGTGAGCCGCTGAGCTTTGGCTTCCCTGTGCATCTGTCTCTCCAGCTATTGCCTCTCCGGCCGCCATGGCCAATGGGTCTGAGTCGTCTTGAGCGCAAGCACGGTGCAGTCCGCCTGGTGAAGCCTTTTTCCCCGCCAGATGCTCTATGCGCTGCATGTGGTCTGCTGCCTGAAAGCATGCAGGTGAGAGTATCAGCAAGGGGCGGGGTGCCTCGTCCCATCGTTGCACTATTTCAGCCTCTCTCGATCAACTAACTCCCTCTCTTTGTTCCCCCCCCCCTGCTCCTCTCAGATTCCTGGATAGCAGAGCTGCTTGCGTCAGCCTTTCGCGGCCTAGTAACACAGCCCTCACACGTAGCCGTGCCCAACTTCCAGGTTGCAAATTCGACGTTCAAACATATTTTGCCCAATTAGGTCCCTTCCAAATTCTTTAAGGTTCGAGCAACCAGGAACTTCAGATCCCGAAACCCTTGTATGAATCATGATGGACATCAGGAGCAGCATATTGACAACAGTGTGCATCCACCCCATCCTACGTCCAAGAATCAAAACTCCTTTCCCTCCCCACCCACCCCCCTACCAACCCGTCTTCCCTCCTTCCTTGCGTGCTCCTCAGAGCGGCTGGACCGGCACATCAGCGGCATTCTGACCACCCTGTGCAACAACCACGCCTCATAATCCATACCAACCACGCCTTATAATCCATACCAACCACGCCTTATAATCTATACCAACCACGCCTTATAATCCATACCAACCACGCCTTATAATCCATACCAACCACGCCTTATAATCCATACCAACCACGCCTTATAATCCATACCAACCACGCCTTATAATCCATACCAACCACGCCTTATAATCCATACCAACCACGCCTTATAGTCCATACCAACCACCCCTGTCCTACACCCCCACCCCCCCACCCCACCCCCCTCAGAGCGGTTGGACCGGCACATCAGCGGCATTCTGACCACCGTGTGCAACCACTCGTTCCACTCCTCCTGCATCTCCAAGTGGACCGACTCCTCCTGCCCTGTGCGTGCTCCTCCTGCCCTGTGCGTGCTCCTCCTACCCTGTGCGTGCTCCTCCTACCCTGTGCGTGCTGCTCCTGCCCTGTGCGTGCTGCCCTATGCGTGCTGCCCTATGCGTGCTGCCCTGTGCGTGCTGCCCTGTGCGTGCTGCCCTATGTGTGCTGCCCTATGCGTGCTGCCCTGTGCATGCTGCCCTGTGCGTGCTGCCCTGTGCGTGCTGCCCTGTGTGTGCTGCCCTATGCGTGCTGCCCTATGCGTGCTGCCCTGTGCATGCTGCCCTGTGCGTGCTGCCCTGTGCGTGCTGCCCTGTGCGTGCTGCCCTATGCGTGCTGCCCTATGCGTGTTGCCCTGTGCGTGCTGCCCTGTGCATGCTGCCCTGTGCGTGCTGCCCTGTGCGTGCTGCCCTGTGCGTGCTGCCCTATGCGTGCTGCCCTATGCGTGCTGCCCTGTGCGTGCTGCCCTGTGCGTGCTGCCCTGTGCGTGCTGCCCTGTGCGTGCTGCCCTGTGCGTGCTGCCCTATGCGTGCTGCCCTATGCGTGCTGCCCTGTGCGTGCTGCCCTGTGCGTGCTGCCCTGTGCGTGCTGCCCTGTGCGTGCTGCCCTGTACGTGCTGCCCTGTGCGTGCTGCCCTGTGCGTGCTGCCCTGTGCGTGCTGCCCTGTGCGTGCTGCCCTGTGCGTGCTGCCCTGTGCGTGCTGCCCTGTGCGTGCTGCCCTGTGCGTGCTGCCCTGTGCGTGCTGCCCTGTGCGTGCTGCCCTGTGCGTGCGTTTCCATGTGTTCGCTCAGTTCAATCCATCTTCTTCTTCTGCTCTCCCACCGACTCATCAGCCTTTCCTCCTCCAATGCCGCTTCCCATTCCACAACTCTACTCCATTGTTGACTTCCCACTGCCCTACCTCTCTCCTCCCCCCCCCCACCCCGCCCCCCAGCCCCAAGCTCGCCTCATCCCCTCCCGGGATGGCCTTTGTCACCCCCTTTAATTGCTACTGCCAGCAGAAGCCCTCCCATGATTCGCAGTGTGCCATGTGTGGGTCTGCTGCTACCGAATGCTACTTCTTTCCCCCCTCTCTCCCCCCCTGCCCCCCTCTCTCCCCCCCTGCCCCCCTCTCTCCCCCCCTGCCCCCCTCTCTCCCCCCTGCCCCCCTCTCTCCCCCCCTGCCCCCCTCTCTCCCCCCCTGCCCCCCTCTCTCCCCCCTGCCCCCCTCTCTCCCCCCCTGCCCCCCTCTCTCCCCCCCTGCCCCCCTCTCTCCCCCCCTGCCCCCCTCTCTCCCCCCCTGCCCCCCTCTCTCCCCCCCTGCCCCCCTCTCTCCCCCCCTGCCCCCCTCTCTCCCCCCCTGCCCCCTCTCTCCCCCCTGCCCCCCTCTCTCCCCCCCTGCCCCCCTCTCTCCCCCCCTGCCCCCCTCTCTCCCCCCCTGCCCCCCTCTCTCTTTCCCAACGTGTGTGTGGGTACTGCCAGCAGCGGTCGACTAGTCACAGAGCGCCATGTGCAGCTCTGCTGCTATCTTATGCAACTTCCACCCCCTCCTCCCTCCCCCCAGGTGTGCCGCTACTGCCAGCAGCCGTCAGACAAGTCGCAGTGTGCCGTGTGCGGCTCGCAGGACAGCCTCTGGATCTGCCTCATTTGCGGCTTCGTTGGCTGCGGCCGGTAAGCACTTGCTTGTGTGATGGTGTGTGGCTCTGGATCTGCCTCATCTGCGGCTTCGTTGGCTGCTGCCGGTGAGCACTTGCTTGTGTGATGGTGTGTGGCTCTGGATCTGCCTCATCTGCGGCTTTGTTGGCTGCGGCCGGTAAGCACTTGCTTGTGTGATGGTGTGTGGCTCTGGATCCGCCTCATCTGCGGCTTTGTTGGCTGCGGCCGGTGAGCGTTGTGTTTCTATCCAGCCACGTTTGTTCAGTGCGTGTTCTCTGTGTCGAGTCTCTGTCGAGTCACTGTGTCGAGTCTCTGTCGAGTCACTGTGTCGAGTCACTGTGTCGAGTCACTGTGTCCAGTCACTGTGTCGAGTCACTGTGTCGAGTCACTGTGTCGAGTCACTGTGTCGAGTCACTGTGTCGAGTCTCTGTGTCGAGTCACTGCGTTGAGTCACTGTGTTGAGTTACTGCGTTGAGTTACTGTGTTGAGTTTCTGTGTGCCGGCAAACTTGACCAGCTACCTATTCCTGGGAAGACGCCTTCGTGCACCTTACCTGCCTGTGCTCCCCCACTCTCTTCCACCCCCCACCAGGTACCAGGGGGGTCACGCGGAGTCCCACTTCAAAGCCTCTCAGCGCTGCTATTCCCTTGAGCTCTCCTCCCAGCGCGTGTGGGACTACGTGGGCGACACCTTTGTGCGTCGCCTTGTGCTCTCCAAGACCGACGGCAAACTTTCAAATTGCCTGGCCCCCTCTCTCTTCCATCCCTCATCACATCAGGTACCAAGGAGGACATGCGGAGTCCCATTTCAAAGCCTCCCAGCACTGCTACTCTCTTGAACTTTCTTCTCAGCGTGTGTGGGACTATGTGGGCGACGCCTTCGTCCACCGCCTCGTTCTCTCGAAGACAGATGGCAAACTGGTCGAGCTGCCCAGCCCGGGGGAACTGGGCGCGGGGGGGAGGGGAGACGGGGGAGGGGGAGGTGCGGGTGGGGGCGCGGGGGGAGAGGCGGGGGAGGTGGGAGGTGGAGGGGAGGGCGGGAGGAGGGTTGGTGCTGGGGAGGGGAGTGATGAGGGGGAGAAACAGAAAGGGGCGACAGGGGAAGGGGGTAATGGAGGGGGTACGGGAGCCGGAGGGGCGTGTGCAATGGGGCCGGGGGGTAGCTGCAGTCACCATCATAGGGGGGATGAGGAGTTCGCACAGGCTGTCATGAACAGTAAACTGGAGTCGGTAAGTCGTTGCGGCAGTGAGTGGAACGGAGGAGGTGGCAGTGACCCCCATCCGCCCCAAACGCTTTTCTGTCTCTGTGCCTGTTGTCCCCCCTCGTCTTCTTTTTCGCACGGGTGCCCTTGGTGTGCACGCATTTGCTTTTGATGTGCACCATCAAAGCAGTGGTGTGCACGCATCTCCGCACCAGTTAGCTGCTCTGCACTCGTTTCTCATCTGTCCGCTCTGCCCCCCCTTTCTTCTCTTTCTCTCGCTTGGGATCTCCCGGTGCCTTGTATTCTGCCCTCCTGCATCACTATCGCCCTCCTGCATCACTATCGCCCAAGTGCCCTCTGAGTGCTGCATCACACATCTCCTCACCACCCACCTCTGCTCTCGTCCTCCTTGCTCCTCTTTCTCCCTCTTGTCTTCCCCTTGTACCTTGTATTTGTCCCACCCGCATCTCTCTGTGTCTCTCTCTCCTTCGCCCAGGTCGCCTATGAGTATACGCACCTGCTCACCACCCAGCTCGAGTCTCAAAGACTCGTAAGTAGCCCTGCTGCCTGCTGGCTCTAGTTTCCTCATCGCAAGGCGTGTAGCAGCTGCTTGTCGCGCCCCCCTCCCTGCATGTCATTCATCTCCATACTTTCCTTCAACTTTTCCACCTACTGGTAACCCTACTCGTAACCCTTCTGCCTGCCGGTTCTTCTAGTTCTAATTCCCCCATCGCAAGGCGTGTAACAGCTGCTTGTTGCGGCCCTCGCCCGTCAGTCATCACCATCGTTTCCTTCAGTTCCTCGTCCTTGCTCCTTCTGGTAACCCTACTGCCTGCCGGTTCTCTAGATTCCTCATCGCAAGGCGTGTAAGAGCTGCGTGTTGCGCCCCGCTCCCTGCTCTTCATTCATCTCCATACGCTGGCTGTTCCTTTGCCTCTTCCACCTTGCTCCCACCTCTTTTGACTTAAACTACTGCCCCCCCTCATCCTCCCCTCCACACACTCCCCCTCTCCCTGCATGCTTGCAGTACTTCGAAGGGCTGCTGGCAGTACCTGAGCCAAAGTTACCCACTCTCTACCCCCCTCTTACTCCCCCTCTTACTCCCCCTCTTACTCCCCCTCTTACTCCCCCTCTTACTCCCCCTCTTACTCCCCCTCTTACTCCCCCTCTCCCTGCATGCTTACCGTGCTTCGAAGAGCTCTTGGCAGCAGCAGAGTCAATGTAACACACTCTCTCCTTCCCCCCTCTTACTCCCCTCCCGCCCCCCTGCATGCTTGCAGTGCTCTGAAGGGGCTCCTAGCAGCAGCGAAGGGGGAGCGGGACGAGGCAGTGGCAGCAGCGTTGTCATAGTAACGGACGAGGGCAGAGCCAGCAGCAGAGGGCAGTACCCCCGTCTCTTACTCCCCTCCCCCCTTTTCTGCGTGCTTGCAGTACTTTGAAGGGCTCCTGGCAGCAGCCAAGGGGGAGAGGGACGAGGCAGTGGCAGCAGCAGAGGCGGCGAAAGAGAGTGTGAAGGTGCAGAAGCTGCAGTCGCGACTGGAGAGAGCGGAGCAAGAAAAGGAGTTCTTGAGGCAGGTCGGTAGAACCGATTGGGAAGGCAGGGTAGTCAGTGCGCTGGTGAGGATGTGAGCGGCAGTGGCAGCAGCGAGGGAGAGAGTGAAGGCGCGAAAACTGGAGAGAGAAGCTGACGTTTTTCTGGGCGACTGTTTCGCGATTCTCGAGCCGCGGGCCGAGATGCCATAGAGGGCACCAGGAGGGGGGTTTTGGGGGGTATGGGATGGACTTGCATGTACCCCTGTCTCTTGCCTGGGATGGACTTGCATGTACCCCTGTCTCTTGCCTGGGATGGACTTGCATGTACCCCTGTCTCTTGCCTGGGATGGACTTGCATGTACCCCTGTCTCTTGCCTGGGATGGACTTGCATGTACCCGTCTCTTGCCTCGCTTGTACGCTGGTTCCAATCAATATATGGACCCCTTGAAGAACAAGAAACGGAGTTGCTGAGGCAGGCGGGCTGGTGAGAGGCAGTGACGGGCAGCAGCAGAGGCGGTAAGGGCGGAATAGGCAGCGAGTGAGAGTGTGCAAGGTGCGGTACGAACAGCCACAGATGGGGCGAGCAGAGCAGGGAAAAAAAATTCTCAGACAGGTAGGGGGGCAGGTGAAGTAGCGAGAGGATTGGTTAGGCAGTGAGAGGCAGCAAGGGACGAGTGCAAAGGGGGGAGGCACTTTGTGTGGCTGTGATGGGGTGGGCAATACGGGTGGGAGAGCTGGTAGTCTGTGCTCCACACCCCGTTCAACCTATGCTTTATGCTGGTAGGTTAGTCATGCGCTGGTAGGTTAGTCATGCGCTGGTAAGGAGTCAGAAGCAGTGACTCGCTGGCAGGAGTCATTGAGTCACACCTCTGGCATGCCCTGTGCGTCACCGCTTATCCAACTCGTTCCCTTGCCCTGTCATGCCCTGTCATGCCCTGTCATGCCCTGTCATGCCCTGTCATGCCCTGTCATGCCCTGTCATGCCCTGTCATGCCCTGTCATGCCCTGTCATGCCCTGTCATGCCCTGTCATGCCCTGTCATGCCCTGTCATGCCCTGTCATGCCCTGTCATGCCCTGTCATGCCCTGTCATGCCCTGTCATGCCCTGTCATGCCCTGTCATGCCCTGTCATGCCCTGTCATGCCCTGTCATGCCCTGTCATGCCCTGTCATGCCCTGTCATGCCCTGTCATGCCCTGTCATGCCCTGTCATGCCCTGTCATGCCCTGTCATGCCCTGTCATGCCCTGTCATGCCCTGTCATGCCCTGTCATGCCCTGTCATGCCCTGTCATGCCCTGTCATGCCCTGTCATGCCCTGTCATGCCCTGTCATGCCCTGTCATGCCCTGTCATGCCCTGTCATGCCCTGTCATGCCCTGTCATGCCCTGTCATGCCCTGTCATGCCCTGTCATGCCCTGTCATGCCCTGTGCTGCTGTGTGCCGGCAGGTGAACGACTCGCTGATAAAGAACCAGAAGCAGTGGCAGGAGAAGTTCAAGCAGCAGGAAGAGAGGTGAGCGAGAATGGGGACTGGGGTCTTATTGTTGGTCTGAGGCGTGAGGGGGGAGTATGGAGTGTGACGTGTGATGTGGGGGGGGAGTATGGTGTGGGATGACATGGGTGAGGGCGTTCAAAGGTAGGTAGTGGTGGGTGGTGCGTCGTGGAACCACCTCTCCTGACGTCCCCAGGTGCATGTGCAGGTGCATGTGCATGTGCAGGTGCATGTGCAGGTGCATGTGCATGTGCATGTGCATGTGCAGGTGCATGTGCATGTGCATGTGCAGGTGCATGTGCAGGTGCATGTGCATGTGCATGTGCATGTGCAGGTGCATGTGCAGGTGCATGTGGATGTGCAGATGTCGCTTGTTTCTGGAACTCTAGTTTCATTCTTATCTCACATCATCGTTCCTCGCTGGATTGTATCGTTTCTTGTGGTCCCAGTGAACACCACTTGGGTGCCATAGGTCTTTACGTGGCAGCACTTGGGTGCCATAGGTCTTTACGTGGCAGCAACTAGAAACGTAGGTCTTCAGACCATCGCTCCTCGCTGGATTGTATCGTTTCTTGTGGTCCCGACAAATCTGCTCGACTGCTCGTCTTCTTGTGTGTGCAGGGAGAGAGCAGCCATAGCCACTAGAGATGAGAAGATACAGGACTTGGAGGAACAGGTGAGAGGTGGGGGAGCAGGTGAGAGGAGTATGGAGTGGTGGAGCAGGAGAGGTGAGACACATGGCATTGAGTGTCTGTGACGGACACGGACGGAGGATGCATGAGCCCAGGAAGAGGGGGTCCGGCCTGGATTCTCGTGAACCCCCTCTTCAATGCCACGTGTCTCACTTCTCGTATGCCTCCACGAGCGGGACCTGATGGTGCGGGGGAGGCAGAGGGCTCACCTAATGTTCTTTCTCTCTCTCGCGCACGCATTCTCCCCTCCCCTCCCCCTCCCCCCCCCCCTCCCCCAGGTGCGTGAGCTGATGGTGTACATAGAGGCAACCCTAGACAGTGAGGCGCGAGGGGGAAGCCGGGCCAGCACAGGGCCCACCGTGTGGTCTCTCTCTCTCTCTCTCTCTCTCTCTCTCTCTCTCTCTCTCTCTCTCTCTCTCTCTCTCTCTCTCTCTCTCATCCCCTTTCCACCTCCTCCCCTCCCCCCTCCCCCTCCCCCTCCCCTTCCCCCTCCCCCTCTCCCTCCCCCTCCCCCCAGGTGCGCGACCTGATGGTGTACATAGAGGCGCAGAAGATAGTGGAGCGCGAGGGGGGGCCGGGGGCAGCAGAGGGCATCCGGGAGGGCACAGTGCTGGCGGTGGGGGGGGCACCAGCCACAGCAGGGGAGCGGGGGGGAGGGAGGGCAAAGGGCCGGCAGGGGAAGCGGAGATGATTTCTGGGGCACTTTTGTGTGGTCTAGATGAATGGGGGAGGGGGGGGCGCCGGGGGCAGCAGAGGGCAGCAGAGGTATCCGGGAGGGCACAGTGGTGGTGGTGGGGGAAGCATCCACAGCAGGGGAGAGAGGAAAGGGGGGGAGGGTGCAGATGGGGCAAGAAGGGGTGTTCAGGATCTCGAGACGGTGAGGTGAGGGGAGCTCATACGCCTTGCCTTCCCAAGCATCGGAGACTCAGAGGGCTGTGCTGAGGGAGCGAGGCAGGGAGCAGCAGTGGTGGTAGGTGTGGCAGGGGGGTACTGGCACTGGGCGGGCAGGCTGGATGCCACTGCCTGATTCAACTGAACCCCCCATGGAGTTTATTCTCGCACATGATGTAGAGGAGCTTGAGATAGTCTGTGTACAGTTATGCATGTGATTGTATAAATGGGATTATCATACTACGATATACGGTCCACCTTGTTTCCGATTCTGGTACGGTAGTTGTGTTATATGGAGCAATATACAGGGCCGTGTACACAAGAGTTCTACTCAAGCTCAGACTCCTTTTTCTGCTTGTACGCCTGCAGCGGCGTGGGGTCTCTGCCAATGTCCTTGCTCCCCGCGTTCAGGTATGGCCCCCTCTGCACTGCCTGCGGGCTCAATGCTCCCTCCCTCTCCACCAGCGGCTCCGAGTACAGGGAGCTGGAAGAGGGGGGAGGGAAAAGAGGGGAGGGGGAGGGGAGGGGAGGGGGGGGGAGGGGAGGGGAGGGGAGGGGAGGGGAGGGGAAAGGATGGAGGGGAGTGGATGGAGCAGAGGAGAGGAGTTGAAAGAAAGAGGAGTGAGAAGACACTGGTAAGGTGAGGTATGGCCCCCTCCCCCTCTGCACTGTCTGCAAGCTCAACAAGCCCTGCCTCCCTCTCCACCAGCGGCTCGGAATACAGGGAGCTGCAGGGGGGAGGGGAGGGGAGGGCAGGGGAGGGGAGGGGAGGGGAGGGGAGGGGAGGAGTTGAAAGACAGAGGAGAGAAACGACACTGAGAAGGTCGGGTGCAGCCCTGTCTGCACTGCCTGAGGGCTCAACGCCCCCTCCCTCTCCACGAGGTGCTTGGAACATAGGGAGCTGGAGAGGGGTGGGGCGTGCTGTGGGGCGGGGCGTGCTGTGGGGCGGGGCGTGCTGTGGGGTGGGGCGTGCTGTGGGGTGGTAGCAAGAGGGTGGAGGGAGGAGGTAAGGGGAGAGAACGGGAGGGAGAAGTGGAGAGGGAATGGAAGGAGTTCAGTTCGCAATCACGATTGGAGAGCTCGTCACATGCGCACACGCAGCCCGAGAAATGAGCGCTCTTTGGCACGCAATGGAGGCTGGGCTTGCCTTGCAAGCACGTGCAGGCAGGGAGGGAGGGGGTGCTGCTTCTGAGTCGACTCAAAAGCGCTCTGAAAGCCGGAGAAATGAGCGCTCTTTTGCACGTAATGGAGGCGGGTTTGCCTTGCAAGCACGAGCAGGCAGGGAGGGAGGGAGGGCAGAGGGGGGGCAGCAAAGCAAGCCATGACACGAGCAGAGGAGGAGCGCGGGTCAGGAATAAGCATGAGGAGGTGTGCGGAGGGGGGGGCAACACCGCAGCTGCAGCGGCAGCGAGAGCGTGGCGAGGGTTCAGAGTTCACGGCGAGGGTTAGAGTCTCATTGTAGGAATGTTAGGGTCCGGAAAGAGGAGACACAGGGAGGGGGCAGTACCGCAGCAGCAGCGGCAGGGAGAGCGTGCCGAGGGTGAAGGTCCAGCGGCCACGGAGAGGGTTGAAGTCTGATTCGAACTGGGTTAGGGCTCAGAAAGACAAGAAATACGGAAAGAGGGCAGTACCGCAGCAGCAGCGGCAGGGAGAGCGTGCCGAGAGTGAACGCGCCGAGAGCCGCGGCCACGGCGAGGTTGCGATGGCGGCGAGACGCGACTGCCATCAGCGAGCGGCGGAATCTGTTACTAGTTTTCGCGAGCTGTAGGCGAATCTCGCAGGACAATCGTCTGGACGAGGAGTGTCGGTCAGGGAAGAGTATTCGAGTCGAATCGTCACTTGGAAGAGGAGATCGAGGAAATTCGGCGGTCTAATCCGAACCAGCCTATTCGCACTTGTGTAGAATCGGATTCGTCGACGGCCTCGGATTCGGCTTCGGCTTCTTCTTCGGCTCGGGCTGGCCTTAGCCGCGGCCTGATTCCGACGCTCTCTTCCTGACGCGCCTCAAAAACAGAACCCGACGCTCTCTCCCCCGCCTTTCTGACAAAATCCACGCCTGGTCGCGTGAATGCCTGATCGCCCGGTCAGCTCGCGCCTAGTTACACCTTATCGCTTTACTGCTGTATCGCTTTCGCAACTCCTTGTCGCCTGATCGTCGCGTCAGCTCGCCTCGTCGCCTAATGTCCTTATCGCTTGCTGACAAATCGGTGACTCGGCTCGTCTTGTCGGGTCGGCTCCTCGTGCATCCGCTTGGTCCTCCTAAGCGAATGCAATGCCTGATCGCGAATAGGACTTTTGAGAGAAATATCCAGCAACTAAGTATCCTCGTCGCGAATAACCTCTAACGAAGTCTTCAGAATAAACGGCGGAAGGAGCGGCGGAAGGAGCGGCGGAATGAGCGGCGACGAAATGGTGAGGGGGAAGGATGTCCACGTGGCTGGTTGAGGAGTTGCTCATTGTCGTCACAGCCTAGAGCCAAGAATAGACTCGTTACAAGTAGCATCGGTTTCACCATTTGACTCATGGTTTCAAGACTGCCCAACGCAGAATACTTTGTAAAAAGCACCACCTCGATTACACCGAATTGGAAGAACCCACCTCACTTGGGATTTGCGAAAGGCACCAGAAAATGTGCGCGAAACGAATCGTCAGAGAATGTTACCCGTTTTCCGTATGCAGCGAAGTACAGTCATTCGTCGCTGTTGATCTTTCCCCGCCATGGACGAGGCGGTATGCGAACTGCAACGATGGTGTGATACAGTTCAATTCCCCAGGGTTAAAGCCAAGACTGCGCAGTGGAACCAAATTTGTCGGTTATTGCTCACTTCGCGGTTTTTGCGACTAGAGTCGACTCCGCGATTGTTTGTCGGAAAAATACCAGTGTAGCCGATCGTCTATGGTCGCCGATAGTATAGCCATCTCCTGTTAGTCTGGGGTGAGCTGGGGCGACGGAGACACCTGATGCAGCTTGGCTGGGCTCAGGCGTCAGAGGCGAGCAAGCAGCGCGCGGAAGCAGCGGTGGCTACCCCCTGAACGCGTGGTAGCAGCTCGTAAGCAGCGGCGGCTAGGGCGTGAACGCGCGGGTGCAGTGCAAGCAGCGTGAGGAAGCAGCGGTGGCTAACCCCTGAACGCGCGGTTCAGAGCGAGCAGCGCGCGGAAGCAGCGGCGGCTAGGCCCTGAACGCGCGGAAGCGGAGCAAGCAGCGCGGAAGCTGAAGTAGTGCGCGGAAGGCAGGGCGCATTCCGAGGCGCCTTGAAACGCGTGGCGGAAGGCGGAAGGCGCAACGCGCAGGGCGCAGGGCGCAAGGCGCAAGGCGCAGGGCGAAAGGCAGCAGAAGGCGATGGCGGGGCGCGACGATTTTGGAGGGCAGGAGGTAGAAGTGCTGCTGGTGACGCCCGGCAGGTGCGGGGGGGATACTAGGGAGGGGGCAGATGGGGCGATTCAGGAGGGCAGGAGGTACAAGTGCTGCTGGTGACGCCCGGCAGGTGCGCGAGGGGGATGGCTAGCAGCGGGGCAGGCGGAAGGAGATCGAGCGAGGGCGGGTGGAGTGGGAAAAGAGGGGGTTGCACGTTGAGGGGGGGTCAGGTGGGGCAATTGAGAGCAGTGAGGGACTAGAGAGAGGTTGTGGTGAGAGGGGCTCGTGAGAGTGCTGGTGGAAGGGGTGCGGCTGATGGCGCGCAGTAGCTGGGGGGGAGCGGATGACGGAACACGTTGGGGGCACGGCGGGAGGGGCAGGTGAGAGGGGCAGGTGAGAGGGGCAGGTGAGAGGGGCAGGTGAGAGGGGCAGGTGAGAGGGGCAGGTGAGAGGGGCAGGTGAGAGGGGCAGGTGAGAGGGAGGGGCAGGTGAGAGGGGCAGGTGAGAGGGGCAGGTGAGAGGGAGGGGCAGGTGAGAGGGGCAGGTGAGAGGTGCAGGTGAGAGGGGCAGGTGAGAGGGGCAGGTGAGAGGGGCAGGTGAGAGGGGCAGGTGAGAGGGGCAGGTGAGAGGGGCAGGTGAGAGGGGCAGGTGAGAGGGGCAGGTGAGAGGGGCAGGTGAGAGGGGCAACAGACACGTGGTAGGAAGGATCAACAGACACGTGGTAGGAAGGATCAACAGACACGTGGTAGGAAGGATCAACAGACACGTGGTAGGAAGGATCATCAGACACGTGGTAGGAAGGATCAACAGACACGTGGTAGGAAGGATCAACAGACACGTGGTAGGAAGGATCAACAGACACGTGGTAGGAAGGATCAACAAACACGTGGTAGGAAGGATCAACAGACACGTGGTAGGAAGGATCAACAGACACGTGGTAGGAAGGATCAACAGACACGTGGTAGGAAGGATCAACAAACACGTGGTAGGAAGGATCAACAGACACGTGGTAGGAAGGATCAACAGACACTTGGTAGGAAGGATCAACAGACACGTGGTAGGAAGGATCAACAGACACGTGGTAGGAAGGATCAACAGACACGTGGTAGGAAGGATCACACCCTCACTCCCTCTCCTCCACTTCCCTCCTTCCCTCTCATCCTGTCCTCGTTCCCTTCAATCGTTCCCCATCCCGATCCCCAGCCATTGAATCCTGAACCCCATGCCATCCTCATTCCCAGCCTAACGTACCAGCTGGTGCAAGTGAGTGGGGGTGGGGAGGAGACTCGAGACTCAATTGAAAGCTCATTTCATTCTTCGGTTGCTCTCTCCCCCTCCCTCCGCTGCTGCTTTCTTTCTCTGCTGCTGTTTCATTCTGTTGCTGCGTTCCAGCCAAGTGTGCGAGCTGGTGCGAGTGAGTGCGGGGCAGGAGGAGAGTTGGTGACTGGGCTCAGAGCTCACCTCCCTCCACTGCTGCTCTCTCTTTCTCACTCCGCCCTTTCTGCCCTTCCCCCCTTGCGTTCCAGCCAAGCATGCGAGCTGGTGCGAGTGAGTGCCAGGCGGGAGGAGACAGCAGCGGGTTTGGCGCAGCAGGTGTTGAGGGACCAGGGCATTGCGCTGGGAGAAGGGGGGGCTGCCTCTCTTGTGTTCAATGGCGTGGAGGTGAGTGCGGTTCTATGCGGTGCAGATGAGCGCACACAGATTGGGAGACAGCTGGGGGCTTGGCGCAGAAGGTGCTGCTGAGGGACCAGGGTCTTTCGCTGGGAGCAGGGGGCTCTGCTGCTCTGGTCTTGCACTGGGGAGCAGAGGGCTGGATCAGGGTCCCTGCCCTGGTCTTGTAGCGCAAGACCCTGTTCCATGAGCAGGGGGTCTTCAAGGGGGTGGAGGTATATGAGCACGTGGGAGTAAGGCAGTGGGTGCAGGCAGGTGCTTGCATATGTGCATTCGCATGCACATGTGTGAAATTTGGTGCGTTGGTTGGTGTGTGTACGTGCACTGGCATGTGCGCGTGTGCGAGAGTGCCCGTGTGCATGCGTCTTAACATGCGTGTATATTGCCACACAATGCCTTGCATGCCATGCCTTGCCATGCCATGCCACACAATGCCTTGCATGCCATGCCTTGCCATGCCATGCCACACAATGCCTTGCATGCCATGCCTTGCCATGCCATGCCACACAATGCCTTGCATGCCATGCCTTGCCATGCCATGCCACACAATGCCTTGCATGCCATGCCTTTCCATGCCATGCCACACAATGCCTTGCATGCCATGCCTTGCCATGCCATGCCACACAATGCCTTGCATGCCATGCCATGCCATGCCATGCCACACAATGCCTTGCATGCCATGCCTTGCCATGCCATGCCACACAATGCCTTGCATGCCATGCCTTGCCATGCCATGCCACACAATGCCTTGCATGCCATGCCTTTCCATGCCATGCCACACAATGCCTTGCATGCCATGCCATGCCATGCCATGCCACACAATGCCTTGCATGCCATGCCTTGCCATGCCATGCCACACAATGCCTTGCATGCCATGCCTTTCCATGCCATGCCACACAATGCCTTGCATGCCATGCCATGCCATGCCATGCCATGCCACACAATGCCTTGCATGCCATGCCTTGCCATGCCATGCCACACACTGCCTTGCCTTCCACACAGTACCTTGCATGCCATGCCATGCCACCATGCCATGACACGACACTGCCATCCTGAAACAAATTGATACCCACCGTTGCTGCACCTCACCTCACAACAGCTAAACGTCATACCACCTCCACCACTCTGCACCCATCTGCATTTTTCCACAACTGCGCCTATCCATCTCAGATGCATAAGCTTTCAAAGCCAATTTAGTGCAGCGTTAGGTGTTCACCTATAGGCAGGACACTTCTCCCACACAACTTTTCTTTGAACCACTCTCCGCCACTCTGCACCTCTCTGTATTCCCACCTCTCTCTCCCTGTCAGCTGGACGAGCGCTCAACTCTGGACCAGTGCGGCATTCGGTGTGCCTCGGGGCGGGAGAGGTGAGGAGAGGAGAGAGGTGAGGAGGGGAGAGGGGTGAGGTGAGGAGAGGAGAGAGGTGAGGAGAGGAGAGAGGTGAAGAGGGGAGAGGGGTGAGGAGAGGAGAGAGGTGAGGAGGGGAGAGGGGTGAGGAGAGGAGAGAGGTGAGGAGGGGAGAGGGGTGAGGAGAGGAGAGAGGTGAGGAGGGGAGAGGGGTGAGGAGAGGAGAGGGGTGAGGAGAGGAGAGAGGTGAGGAGGGGAGAGGGGTGAGGAGGGGAGAGGGGTGAGGAGGGGAGAGAGGTGAGGAGGGGAGAGGGGTGAGGAGGAGAGAGGGGTGAGGACGGGAGAGGGGTGAGGACGGGAGAGGTGTGAGGAGGGGAGAGAGGTGAGGAGGGGAGAGGGGTGAGGACGGGAGAGGGGTGAGGACGGGAGAGGGGTGAGGAGGGGAGAGGGGTGAGGACGGGAGAGGGATGAGGAGGGGAGAGGGGTGAGGAGGGGAAGGGAGAGAGTATGACGAGGACGGGGAGGATAAACTTTCTGAGAGGAGGGGGAGGAAGTGTAAGGTGGAGTGATGCAATTGTGGGAGATAGACGAGATGGCGTGCTGGGAAGGAGGGAGAGACAGGGAGACAGGGAGTGTCTGCATCTCCCACCCCACCCCACTATTCTGCTCTGCGCTTGGCCTTCCAGGCTCACCCCTGCTTCCCCATCACTCGTTCTTCTCCCTGCTTCCATTCGACCCCTCCCTCCCCCCCGGGCCCCCGCCACCTGCCATCTTCCCCGTGAGCTGGGTGCCTCGTTTCTCCCTCTTCCCAACGCCACCAGCTCTTTCCTCTCTCACCGTCCTTCCCCTCCCCCCTCCTCTCCTGCCATGCTTCCCCTCAGCTGGGCACCGTGCCTCCTTTTCCCAGCGCTACCAGCTCTTTCCTCCCTCACCATCCTCCCCCTCCCCCCTCCTCTCCTGCCACCTGCCCCCTCAGCTGGGCGCCTCGCTTCCTCTTCCCCAACGCCTGGCACATGCAGTCCGTGCCTAGGAAGCCGCCAGTCAAGGTAACCTGCTGGTAACCAGGCTGGTAATGAGGGTGGTAACCAGGGTGGTAATGAGGGTGGTAACCAGGGTGGTAATGAGGGTGGTAACCAGGGTGATAATGAGGGTGGTAACCACTGGTCAAGGTATCGCCGCAGCCGCTGCCTTCCTCTGTGCTCTCACTGCTCACCCTCCCTCCTGAATCTCCCTCCACCGACTCCTGTCCCTATTGCCACCATTCCTGCCCCCAGGTAACCAACCCCACCTGGCCAGTGGCAAGGCACGGAGCGCCACCGCAGCCGCTGCCTTCCTCCGTGCTCTCGCTTCTCACCCTGCCCTTTGACTCCGTCCCTGTCTGGGCGCTCTTCCTCTGCCTCTTCATTGCTGGTCTCTTTGCCCCGCTGTAACTCTCGCAGGGCCCAAATTAGCCGGGTGAAATGCCCTGATTGCCCTGTTTTTTCCGGGTGTTTTTTGGCTTGGTCTTAAAAATCAGACTCACAAATATTTTTAGGCTGATCCAAAAAGTGTAGCGAAATTTTAACCCTGACGAAAACAGAGTTGCGGGAACTGACACACTGAGTCTTCAGGATGTCCACGAAAATGTTGTGGTAAATGAAGTTTTGCATTCCTACAAGTTCTGTTTTTCGTGTAATTAGCAGTATCGAGTTTCTCGGGAGTTCCGAGTGATGACGTCAGCAAAGCATCGCCCGTCTCATTAATGACGTCAGCATACCGCTTCAGTTACGCGAATAGGCGTAACGAACCGTTTTCAGTCACGCGAACAGTCGCGGCCCTATAGAATGACGAGTAGGTCGCATAGCGCGATAGTGTCGAACAAGTACATTAGCGAACAGGTACTTTCTCTAGAGCTATAAATCCTCAACAACAGCAATTTCAGCAACAGCAGCAACAGCAGCAACCTCAACAAGAAGGCATTATATTTCAACCGCCGAATTTACTTAACAGCACACAAATCAAGACCACTATACCTTTTAACGGAGTTGATTTTTATTCATGGATATTGGGCTGAGAAAAGCCCTTAGGATCTTTCCAGAGACTAAGTTCCAGTTATAAAAGGCTTGAGTTGTGCAGCGGAAGTTGAGGTAGTTGAACCCTTGTACTAGTATATGAGAACAAGTGATTGATTAAAGAAACAAGCATACAGCAATATATAGAAAATAAGAAAGCAGTTGTAGAATACAGTGTCAAACATGTATGTTTGTCATGTTTGTATAGACTGTATAGGGTCGCCTCTTAGAGGGTACAACACTTAGGTATATCTGTGTACTCTCACTCTATCAACTAAAACTTCTCTGATTTTGTTATGGTATCACGCGTAGGTTAGGATCCCCCCCCACCTACCGCTTCCGCTCGCCCCTCCTAGCCCCGTCGTGCCCCTAGCCCCGTCGCGACCCCCCTAGCCCCGTCGCGCCCCTTCCTGGGCCCTGTCGCACCCCTTCCTGGGCCCTGCAGCGCCCCTCCTGGGCCCCATCGCGCCCCTCCCAGGCCCCGTCACGCCCCTCCTGGGCCCCGTCGCGCCCCTCCTAGGCCCTGTAGCGCCCCTCCTGGGCCCCGTCGCGCCCTTCCTGGACCCTGTAGCGCCCCTCCTGGGCTCAGCCGCGCCCCTCCCAGGCCCCGTCGCGCCCCTCCTGGGCCCCGTAGCGCCCCTCCTGGGCCCCGTAGCGCCCCTCCTGGGTTCCGTCGCGCCCCTCCTGGGCCCCGTCGTGCCCCCCCTGGGCCTCGTCGCGCCCCTCTCAGGCCCCGTCGCGCCCCTCCTAGGCCCCGTAGCACCCCTCCTGGGCCCCGTCGCGCCCCTCCAGGGCCCCGTAGCGCCCCTCCTGGGTTCCGTCGCGCCCCTCCTGGGCCCCCTAGTGCCCCCCCTGGGCCTCGTTGCGCCCCTCCTGGGCCTCGTAACGCCCCTCCTGGGCCCCGTAGCGCCCCTCCTGGGCCGCGTCGAGCCCCCCCCCTCCTGGGCCCCGTCACGCCTTCCGGCCCCGTCGCACCCGCCCGGCCCCGTCGCACCAGCCCGGCCCCGTCGCGCCCGCCCGGCCCCGTCGCACCCGCCCGGCCCCGTCGCCCCCTGCCCGGCCCCGTCGCAGCCGCCCGGCCCCGTCGCACCCGCCCGGCCCCGTCGCACCTACCCGGCCCCGTCGCACCGGTCCGGCCCCGACGCACCTGCCTGGCCCCGTCGCACCGGCCCAGCCCCGTCGCACCCGCCCGGCCCCGTCGCACCAGCCCGGCCCCGTCGCGCCCGCCCGGCCCCGTCGCACCAGCACGGCCCCGACGCACCCGCCCGGCCCCGTCGCACCGGCCCGGCCCTGTCGCACCCGCCCGGCCCCGTTGCACCGGCCCGGCCCCTGCGCTCGTCCCTGCCCCGGCCCCGGTCCTCCTCACTGGTACGGTTTCCCCCCCCCCCGCCCTGCACTGCCTTGCACCATACTGCCCCGCACTGCACCGCCTCTCACCACCCTGTACTGCCTGGCACCGCACTGCACCGCACTACACCGCACTGCACCGCACTGCACCGCACTGTACCGCACGGCACCGCACTCCACCTTGCTGCACTGCCCTGCACCGCACTGCGCTGTTCCTGATGGCGGCGGAGCTTCGCTTCGACGCTGAAGGCCAGCCTCTGGAGTTTGAGGCGTGGCTTGCCGACCTCCGCCGCCAACTCACTGGCCAGCGGCAGGATGGCGAACCGCTTTCCGCACACCTTGACGGTACGCTCCCCTGCCCAGACCCCCCTGCTATTTTGCCCGCTGACTCCACCCCCACCGAGCGCGAGTCTACTGCTGCCACTGCCCGTGCGCGCTCTGTCTGGCTTTCTAGCGATGCTGTCGCCCAGCTTGCGATTAGCAACGCCCTTCCCCCATCCGAGCGCCCTCGCTTTAGGTCCCTCACCACTGCTCAGGCATACTTAGATGCTGTGATCCAGCGCTATTCCACTCCTCCGGCTGCCTCGGTGGGTCGCCTGATCCTCCCGATGCTCTTTCCTGACCTTGCATCCTTCCCTACTGTCGCAGCCTTCGCAGCAGCCGCAGCAGCCGTCGCAGACACGGCAGACGAGTGTCCTCCCGCCCGGGTGGCCCGGCGGTGGCGGTGGCCGGGCGCGTGGTGGTGTGCCGAGTGGTGGCTCTGGCGGCGGGCGTTGTCAGTACCAGATCAAGACCGGTCCTCGCCGCGGCTTTGTTTGCGGTAAGATCGGTCACTCCACTCAGGTGGCTGCGTCTACCCAAGTTGCTGCTGCCTGCTCCTGTCGGTCCCTCACTCACCCGACTCTCACTTTGGCACCACCGCCTAGGTCACCCTGCGCTCCCTCGTCTGCGTCACATGTCCCAGCACGGTCTTGTCCTTGGTCTCCCAGGTTCTCTCCCCGCGTTTCCCTCCTCCCCCGCCCCCCCTTGCACGCCTTGTGTCGAGGGTCGGCTTCGCCGTGCCCCTCACTCCTCCTCGTTTCCCCCTACCGTCGCGCCGCTGCAGACCCTGCACCTGGACGTTTGGGGCCCCGCCCCCGTCCCTGGGCCGCGTCGAGAGCGCTACTTCCTTGTGCTTGTCGACGACTTCACTCGTTACACCACAGTCTTTCCCCTGGAGCGCAAGGCCGACGTGCCTGGCGCTCTCATCCCCTGGCTTGTCGTTGCGCGTGTCCACCGCGGTCTCCCTGTCTTGCGTCTTCACTCAGACCGTGGTGGCGAGTTTGCCTCAGGTGTCCTTGGTCGCTTTTGTCGTGCGGAGAGCATCACCCAGACGTTCACCCTACCGGACTCCCCACAGCAGAATGGGGTCGCTGAGCGACGCATCGGTTTGGTCATGGAGGTGGCTCGCACCTCCATGATCCATGCCGGTGCACCCCATTTTCTGTGTCTGTTTGCTGTGCGCTACGCTTCGCACCAGCTTAACCTGTGGCCGCACCCTCAGCAGCCGCAGGTTTCGCCGACCCGTCTTTGGACTGGGTCTCCTGGTGACGCGTCTGCGTTCCACGTCTGGGGCTGCCTTGCTCACGTTCGTGCCTCCGGCACGGACAAGCTCACTGCCCGCACCCTTCCCTGCGTCTTCGTCGGTTTTCCCCTTGACGTGTCCGACTGGCACTTTTACCACCCGCCGTCTCACCGCTTCTTTCACTCTCGCGACGTCACCTTTGACGAGTCCGTTTCCTACTACCGTCGCTTCCCCCACCGTGGTCCCCCGGTTACCCCCCCCCCTGTTCCTGGTCACTCCTTCCCCGGTAGTCCCTGCCCCTCCTCCTCCTCCTCCCCGTCCGGCCCCCTCTGGTGTGTCCCACGTCACCCCCCTTCCGTCGGCGGACCCGGTTGAGGAGTCCTCTGACTCTGGTGGCCCTCCTGTGCAGTCCTCGCCGGCTGCCCCTCCCCCGGTGTCCCCTCCCCAGTCCCCTCCTCCACCGCCTCTGCCGCCGCTGCAGCCGTCGTTGTCGTTGCCGCCGCCGCCGCAGCCGCCGCCGCCGCCGCCGTCGCGGCCCCCGTTCGCTGACTCTGGGGGTGCTCGTCCCGGTCGCCCTGGGGGTGGCCCCTCTAGGGGTGCTGGTGTAGAGAGTGCCGGTGGTAGCCGAGGAGCAGCTTGCGGTCTAGGTGTCGCCGTTGCGCCGCCGCAGCAGCAGTTCCCGCCGGTGTCAGCCCTTCGCCTGCTCGGCCTTCCGTCACCCGACCCTGCGTCTGTTCCTCCCCGGCCGTCTCCTCCTCTTCCTGTCTACGGCCCTGTTTTCCCTCCACCGGACTCGTCCCCGGCCTGTCTCCCCCCTCGTTCCCCTCCTGTGTCACCTCCCCTGTCTCCTGACCCGACTCCTCCGTCGCACGTCTGGTCTCACCGTCCCTTCCGTGCTCGTCCTGCCTCGCCTGTCTTGCGCTCCCACCCTATGTTGCTTCGTTCCCACGCGTCTCGTCCTCCCCTTCTGCCGTCGCCTCCTCCGTCCTCCCTTGTTGTTGCACCCCCCCCGCTGTCTGACTACCTTCGTGCCGCTCGTCCCCTTGTTCCTCGGGTCCTTGCCTCTCTCGTTACCGACCCGTCTGTTTCGGTCTCGTGCCTTGACGCTCTTGTCGCTGCTGTCGCTGACTTCGCCTCTACCCGCCGCCTTGACTACGCCACAGCTCTGGTCTCTGACCCTGCCTGTCCTCCGTCTGTCGGGGGTGCTCCTGCTCTTGGCAGTGACGTCCTGGAGGGCCGCCAGTTCGAGCTTGCTTTCCTCTCCGAGGCTGCTCCCCATCTCTGTTCCATGCTGCTAGTCCCTGAGGGCGACCCAGACGCTTTCGACATCCCGACCCCTCGCACTTACGCTGAGGCAACCTCGGGACCCTGGGCCTCACAGTGGATAGCTGCCATGGAGCAGGAGATGGCATCTTGGAGATCCACCGGCACCTTTGTCGACGCAGTTCCACCACCTGGGGTGAACGTAGTCGATGGCCGTTGGCTCTTCAAGGTGAAGCGCCCTCCTGGAGAGCCGCCTGTGTTCAAGGCGCGCTACGTGGCTAGAGGCTTCAGTCAGCGCGAGGGGGTGGACTTCTTCCAGACCTTCGCTCCGACCCCGAAGATGACTACTCTTCGGGTTCTGTTACACCTAGGTGCTCAGCGTGACTACGAGCTCCACTCCCTCGACTTCTCCACTGCCTTCCTTCAGGGCAGCCTACACGAGCAGGTCTACTTGCGTTGCCCTCAGGGCTTTACTGGCACCTTCCCTCCTGGGACCCAGTGGCTCCTGCAGCGCCCCGTCTACGGCCTGCGCCAGGCTCCCCGTGAGTGGCACGACACTCTCCGTGCTACGCTTGCTGACCTGCAGTTCTTTCCGTCTTCCGCAGACCCTTCACTCTTCGTTCGTGCTGGCCAGACTCCGTTCTACATCCTTGTTTACGTCGACGACCTGGTCTTTGCCACAGCAGACAGGGACGCACTGGCCTCCGTGAAGGCAGAGCTGCTGAAGAGACACACGTGCACTGACCTTGGAGAACTGCGCCGCTACCTTGGCTTGCAGATCTCCAGGGACAGAGCATCGCGCACCATCACCCTGACTCAGTCACACTTGGTGCGCCAGGTCCTTCAGAGGTTCAGCCTTCAGTTCTCCTCTGCACAGCCCACCCCTCTGCCTGTAGACCACAGACTCTCCGCTCCAGTGTCTGAGGAGTTGGTAGAGCCTAGTGGCCCCTACGCAGAGCTGG